ACACCTCCAACTGTTCGTCCATCGTGCATAAGAACCTAGAAACTTGTCCTGGACCCCATCACCTATAGCAACAATATTGTAACTGAGTGTAATAGACAGTTTAGTTAGTTAGCTTATAAGCAGACAGTGAGGATAGCCTAAAATGGAGTCAGATAAAGGAAAATAGCACACATACTGAATTAAGAACTAGTTCAAGTCGCACATCTAGCTAAACCTTGAAATATAAAACATAGGGAAAAGGATAAAAAGTTAGGATAAGAATGGTGAGGTAAAGAGCCTTCCATCCAAGAAGCTTTTTATGCGGAGTATGCTAAATTACTATACAGTTCCTCCCTACCTCTGAGCTGGACTTGGAAAAGCTTAAAAAGGTGGAATAATCAGTTTCTTTTAAACCACTCTAGCTAGGTAGCTAATTTATTTAAAAAACTACAAAACTTCCCTCACTCTGCTTATCTGGAAGAGAGAAAGAAAGAAACAGAGAGAGAGAAAGAGAGAGAGAGAGAAAGGGAGGGAGAAAGAAAAAGAAAGAACTTATTGAGTAGCTGTTGCTGAGTATCACTTATATTTTTGAGAAATACTCACAAAACTCCAATTAGTCATTTACCAATTCAAAGCAAAGTTGGAAACTTGACACCCTCCTTGGCAGAGTTTAAACATGCACTTAGCTTCTTTTTCTTTTCTTTGACTGTCTTGGTACTTTTTAAGTATACAGTACAGTGACATTCATCTTGGGATCTTGTACCTTTACATGACAGGTCTTGGTTCTCATTTTCCCCCCACACCTTGCCCACTTGCTTCACTCCATCCACCCTCCCCACTATACAAAGACTTTGTTTCCGTTTTTCCTTTTCTTATACTTTTTCTTTTCCCTTCTTTCATTTCCCCTACCCTTTCCCTTTCCCCTACACCTTTAGTCCTTTTCTTCCTATTTCATATTGTCAGTTATACAATTTGGATCTTATTACACTTTTAGTTTTTCAAACCAGAGAAACTACCAGTATTTACATATGTGTGTCTAATTTATTTCACTTAAGAGTATGGCCCCAATATGCATACATTCTCCTATGAATGACACTAATCTCTCATTCTTTATGGCTGAGTAATGTTCCATTTTATAGAAAAACCACATCTTCTTTATCCAGTCTCCAACTGATGGGCAATTGAGCTGTTTCTAAGCTTTAGCTCTAAGCTCTGCAGCTGTAGCAAACCGTGCCACTATAAGCATGGGTGTGCATATATCACTGTGGTATGATTCTTTTAATTCTTTTGGAAATATACCCAGCAGAGGAATCATTGGGTCAAATGGGAAAATATATAAAGAACTTAAAACAATCAGCCCCCCCAAATATAAAGACCCGATTCAAAAATGGGCATCTGAAATGAACAGACATTTCTCAGACAAAGAAGTAAAAGCAGCAAGTAAATACATGAAAAAATGTTCCACATCACTCGTCATTCCAGAGATACAGATGAAAACAACACTGAGATTCCACCTCACCCCACAATGAATGGCTGCTATCAAGAAATCACACAATAACAAATGTTGGCAGGGTTGTGGGGAGAAAGGAGCCCTTCTCCATTGTTGGTGGGAGTGCAGACTGGTGCAACCACTATGGAAATCAATATGGAGATACCTCAAAGAGCTTGGACTGGAGGTTCCATTTGACCCAGCCATCCCTCTGCTGGCTATCTTTCCAAAAGAACTAAAATAATCATATCACAGAGATACACGTGCACCAATGTTTATAGCAGCACAGTTTGTAATAGCTAAAACTTGGAAACAGCCCATCTGCCCATTTGTTGGAAACTGGATAAAAAAGATGTGATTTTTCTATAAAATGGAATACTACTCAGCCATAATGAGAAATTAGAGTCATTCACAGGAAAATGGATACACATTGAGGATATACTCTTAAGTGAAATAAATGTCACACATGTATAAATACCAAATAGTTTCTCTGGTGTGAAAAACTATAATAGTACACAAGATCCTAATGGTATAATTAAGAGTGTGAAATAGGAAGAAAAGTGCCAAAGGTGTAGGGAAAGTGGGAAGGGTATGGAAAAGAAATAAGGGAAAAGAAAAAAATATGAGAAAATGAAAAAATGAAGATAAAGAGTTTGTAAATGGGGAGGGAAGGAGGGGGTGAAGGGAGGGCAGGGACAAGGGGAAAAATGAGAACCAAAAACCGTCAATGTGAAGGTACAGGATCCCAATAATGAATGTAACTGTATTGTAGACCTCGATTGTACCAATAAACTCAATGAAAAGAAAAAAAAGAGTTTGGCCTAATTTATCTTCCAGCAAGTTTAGTATTTCTGTTTTAATATTTATATCTTTAGTCCTCTTCAATTTTAGTTTAATAACATGCACTTATCTGTATCAGGGAAGCAAAAATCGAGAGAAAGTTGAATTCTCAGTTCTAGTAAGTTTCATACACCCAAATTAGTACCTTGATTAAGAAAGCACAGGAGCTTGACACTTGGAAGAGGGGTTTCTGGGTAGATGAATTTGGGGCCCTTGAACCCCAAGAGCCTCCAAAATCTTCTGGGTCTGTAAAAGTGCTGCAATTATTCCTTTTAGAAGATAAGAGTCCCTGTTTGATAGAAGATTTTTAAAAAAACCTCAGATATGTCCAAAACAATGCCTGCCCTTCTCAAGTTCTGTCTCTCCTTCTCTGGCAACCAGAACAATATCTATGGTCAAATTTCAACATAGGATGACTGGAGAAATGTTTGGACTCCTGAGAGTGGAAAGGAATTATACACAAAAGGAGTTGCAAAACGTGGTTGGCGTTTACAAGCAAGAATGGGAAGAGTGTATATGATGATGCTAGATCTACAAAGCATATTATAAAACTGGATTAGGAAAATTATATTAATAATAGAGCTAGTCTCCTGTGACACAGGATTTAACACATTAGCAAGGTCACCAGAGGGAGATTTTGAAATGGTTATTCTAGAAAGTAGGAAAATGAATGACCCACATCAAATGAAGTAGTGAAGATAGAACTCGGTGGTAGACTGTAATACAGTGGATCAAATAGCTCAGAGAACTGAACATATCAGGACAGATTTATTATATAAGACAAGCAGACCAACCAGTTTACTAAGTTCTTTGGAAGTGCCTAGAGGATAGTTCATTTACAAAAGCAGTAAGTAATGTGATAGAGAAGAAACACTAGTGAAATATTTCACAGTAGCTGTCCTCTGGGAGCCAAGGTGGACGGGAAAAGATGCTATTACCAGTCTGAGCTTCCTAGTAGGAATAGGACCGATAAGATTTGGAAATATGAGAGATCATGCGGCAGCACTTAGCCATCAGAAGGAAGGTGGGTATAAACATGGGTAATAAGGCTGAAGTGACATCAAAGAGAGCCACCTGACCCACAGGGAGCTAATGAGGTGGCTCATAGAATATTGTATTTCTAGGGACAAAATCGATGAGCAGCCAACAAGGATATATTTTCAAGGTAAAAATTTGGTAAGCAGAATTCTGAAGTCAGCTGCCTCAATGGAGAATCATAACTCCTTTCCCCCTACCCAGCCCCACACCAATTCTAAGATCCATAACACCTAAAATGAAGAAGAGGGCGGGTTTCCTCTAGAAAGGACCCTACATCGTGGCAATTACATTCCATTGTGTTTCTAGCCCTTCTCCAAAAGTATCTGTGACCACTTATACATCTGAGAAAGAGGAATGCAACCTTTTTGAAGTCTAGTGGACCCAGGAAGTAAGTCAACACTGATGTTCAGGAGCCTGAAGTGTTTTGAGACCCCTTTATTAAAGAGGGGCTGGAAGAGGTCAGGTAAATATTGGCCCAGATCTGTCTCACAATTGGCCTGGAAGTTGTCTCCATGACTTTGAAATGAATAATTATATTGAGTACACTATCAGTTGGAAGAATCCTTACCTTAGTTCCTTGATCTATGGAATAAGAACTACTGTAATAGTAAGCCTCTAAAACTCATGCTCATGCTCCTTCCACCACCCCCCAGAAAAACCCTCCAAAGGCCAAAGTAAGTAAAAGAGTAATGTTTCATTGAGGGAAATAGAAGGACATTAAACAATGCAGGAGTCATGGTTCCCTAGTAGCAATAGGCACCCATATCACCATTTAATTCATCAGTCTGGCACCTGCTCAGTAATAGTTCCAATTGCATCTACCATGCATGAATTGGTATCTTCACCAAAGTAGACTAAGAAACCAGTGGTAGATGGTATATGGCTCTGGATTTGAGCAAATACCATGTTTTCCTGAAAGAAAGACCTAGCTGGAAACTAATCAGCCTTGAAAACTAGAGATCAAAAATGCCAGGGCCAGGGATTTAGCTCAGTGGTTTTGCTGCCTGCCTCACAAGCACAAGGTCCCAAGTTTGATCCCCAGTACAAATAACGAAAGAAAGAAAGAAAGAAAGAAAGAAAGAAAGAAAGAAAGAAAGAAAGAAAGAAAGAAAGAGAAAGAAAGAAAGAAAGATGCCAGCCCCAATCCTTGCCTTACCTGCCTTACAAAGTAGCTGCCAAGCAAAAGAATAGTAATGGCAAGTAAGGCAAGGATAGACTGATTGGGGCTGGTGTTTTTCATCTCTAATTTTCAGGCTGATTATTTTGCAGGTAGGTCACATTTTGGGGTAAAGAAGGATTCTTTTTCTTCCTCTCAAGAAGGAAAAGCAGATACCAGTCTCATACTGGCTCAAAAGGACCTAAATAAACCATCTGATATTTTGTACTGGTCATACTGGTCCACTATAGTGATAGTACCGTGTTATTTGGAACTGATGAGCAAGAAACAGAAGCATTCTGGATGTTCTGATAAGATATACACTCCAGAAAGTAGTAGATAAACTCTGCAAAGATTTGAGGATGAGTCACGTGAATGAATTCCTTAGGTATCCAGTGGTCTGGGGCCTGGGGAATGCTGCAATTCCCAAGTTTTGAACAAATGATTGCACCTTAAGCCTTCTACCACTAAAAAAAGATCTAAAAGTGGACTTTTTGGATCCTTCAGTTCATGAGAGTGATGATTGGTTGTTCATGTAATATGCATGAGATGTGCCTCCCTCAAACCTTGTTATGACATTGACACATTACCCTTTTGATCTGAAAAATAAGTAGGCCTTTTTGGGTCTTGAAGTAAAATATTCTACACTTGGGAATACTGTACTAAACCATTTATTGAATAGCATGAAAAGCTACTACTTTTTAGTGGGGCTAAAAAAGTTTCTGTGGCAAATTCAAGCTATGGTTAATGTAATCCTACCACTAGAGTCATATGCCCCCCCCAAATCCTTGTTATTAAAATATGTGTAGTAGAAAAAATTGTGGAGTTGTTAGAAAAAGGTCCAAATAGAAGAATAAAATGCAGACTGTTAGTGCTGTAGAGCAAGCCCATATCACATGGAAGGAGAGAATTGTATGGCATGAAAGGAGCTTCTGGCATGATCATAGGCCTTGATAGAGGTTGAACACTTACCCTTGCAACATCAAATAATTATATTCCCAGAACTACCTGTCATGTGCTGGATCCTAGTTAGGTGTGGTGGCGCACGCCTGTAATTCCAGCACTTGAGAGGCTGAGGTAGGATGATTGCCATGAGGTCAAGGCCAGCTGGAGCCAAACAATGAGTTCAAGGCTAGCCTGCATTACATAAAATGATCCAGTCTCAAAAACCGAAAAGAACAAAACAAAACAACTGAGCTAGATTCTGTGGGACACACCCTGTCCTAAATTTGGGTAGGTCCAACAGCAACCTACTGTAAGATAAAGTGATACATCTAGCAGGGTTGGAGTCAGGCAGTTGAAGAAAGTATAAGTAAGCTACCAAAACAGGTGGTCCAGGCCTCTACGTCATCCATCACTGTTACATTGGTGCCTTTCCCTTAACCCACACCAGAAGGGCAAGTGTTCTTGTCATGAAATGATAGAGCTGAAACTGGGTTCATGATTGAGTTGATTCAGCATTTGAGTATGGGTTAAAAATGTCCAGTTGCCTCACTACAGCCTGACTGAAGGATTTCTCTGAAAGGCAGGGAGCAGAGCTCATGGTGGCACACTTGATTGATTCCACACTTTCTGTGGAAGAAAAAGCAACCTTCGATTAATTGTATACTGATTCAACAATAACAATGAATCAGGAGCTTGGAAGGGAGAGATGGGAAGACCAGGTGGTCTGTGGAAAAAGGCATGTGGTGGACCTGCAGAATGGGTACAAATTGTGAAGTACTTCACTCATTTTATCAGCCACTTGAGATAATTCACTTCAGATGAGGCACTAAATGAGCAAGAGGACAGGATGACCTGGTCAGTTGATTCTCTGCCACTTCAGTGCTTGCACATTTGAGTACCAACAGTGGCAGATACAAAGGCTGTGGTGAGCCAAATAGCATGAGTTTCTTCTTATCAGAGCTAGTCTAGGTCTTCCTGAAGCTGATTGTCTAGGCTTACAGCAAACGAAACCATCACTGAGTCCCCAATGTTACACCACACCCTGAAATATCAACCAATCAGTCCCTTCCTTCTGGAAAGTGATTCATCCTGGGAGACATCGACTCATATGCACATGTATATTTTGCTTTTACTGATACTAAGGCCTCAGTCAACACCACTATCTGAGGGTTTACCTACCAACATAGGTTCTCTCATGTCACTTCAGAACAACAGAATAGTTTCATGAAAAATGTGGTGCAGCAACAGGCACATAACAATAGAACCTGTTCACTGTACAATATTCTGCACCATTTGGAAGATACTGACTTAAGAAAATGAGAAGGCATAGCTGAGGCACTAGCTTGGAGACTACCACTATGAGGATGGAGCACTGTCTTTCTGGATGTAGTATGTACACTAAATTAGGAGTCCGAAAAACTATAGCCCACAGGCCAGTTCCAGGCCATTGTCCATTTTTGGAAATAAAGTTTTACTAGAAAGCAACTTTATTAGTAAGTTGTCCCAATGCTGGGAACACAATATGGATACCCACAACTTGAAGGAGGAGAGATTAAATTTGGCTCATGGTTTCAGATAAGTCAGTTCATGGTTAGCTGACTCCAAACTAGAAACATCATCACAAAAGAGTGTGGCAAAACAAAGATTCTTAGTTCATGGTGGCCAGAAAGCAGGGCCGGGGAACAGCACCAGAGAAGAAGGGGCCAGGGCCCAGATATAGATCCCAAGATCATGCCTACGTTAATCACTGAGACACAGCCAAACGTGTGCTTGACTAATCCCTTGGGTGGCTTCCAAGCCAATAAATTTGGTGAGATTAAGTCTAACCAGCAGAACAACCACTGTCACTCACTACCTTTGGCTACTTTCATACTACAACAGGGTTAAAAAAAATAACAACAGAGACCATATGGTTTGAAAAGCCTAAAATGTTTGTTATCTGGTTCTTTATACAAAAAGTTTGCTAACTCCCCCTCTAAACCAGTGTTCATTATATAATTCTCTGGTTTCAATAGGTAAAATACATGGGCCTAAGAATCAAGAGATGCCAGTCAGTGACCCTTTTCACCATTACTCTCAATGACCAATTTGGGGAATTTGTGCTTCCATTTTTACAACTTTAGGTTCTGTACATCTAGAAAGTTCTGGTTCTCAAATAAGGATCACTTACACAAGGGGACTACTATGCTTAAAGGTATATCTGCTACTTGGTGATTTGGAGCTCCTTCTGTCAATAGGCCAGCAAGTAGAGAAAAGTTAACCTACTGGCAATGGTAACTGATGCTTAATCAGGAAGAAGAGCTAAGAGTTGTTGCTGCAGAATGTGGGCAAGGAAGAATATGTTTGGGATCCACGTTACCTACTAGGGCATCTCCTGGAACTGCAATAAGAAGACTTAACTAAAAATGTAGACGTGTAGCAAATTCAGTACTGCTAAGGGCATGGAAACTGGAGCTTAGGCTCACACGGATGAGGTGCTAGATCAGTGATGGTGAACATTTTAGAGATTCAGTGCCCAAACTGCAGCTCCAAACCTACTTATTTATCACAAAGTGCCAACACTGCAATTAAATTTAAACACCGAGGTTTTCATTTAGAACGCTCAACTGCCGGGGTGACTTGACTTGCATGCCAACCGAGGGAGCCGTGCATGCCTGTTGTGACACAGGAGCCATAGGTCTGCCACCACTGATCTAGCTCACCTCACCAGGCAAGCCATGTAGATCCACAGAAGAGTCTAACAAGTAAATGAAGCTTCAATAGGTGATGCAAGAAGGAAATGAAAATATTAACTACAACCTTGGGACCAATTTGAGCAGTCAAGGCTGTCATTTGTTTAAATTCTCCTCGTACAAGTTTCTCAAAGGAATTCTAATCAATCAGAATCGAGAAAAAGCTATGCCAAAATCTAGTGAATTTAATATGGAATAGAAAGCAGATCTGAGTACGAGGGATGAACTGCAACAGACACTGATGATACCTCGCAATGATGCCCTTTATTATTAATTGATGCATCCGTTCCCCAGCTACTTTGAGTGCTACAGGTAGTGGTTTATATCTTCAAGCTTCTCCAAATACTGATTACCTCCAACTAAAAGGAGTCACTTCTCTTGAAGACAGTTGGGAATTTCAAACACTTCTCCCCCTGCCCTGCACCACCACAAACAGAAGTGAGCGATGACTGACTGATAGGCCTAACCCCTTGCCTTATGATAGAAGAACTCTTCAAGCTCCTTCCTCTTATGCCACACGAAGCAATTCCTGCCACATAAGACATCCCACAACCATATCAATTCTCCTTTCCTATCTTGCTACTCTCAACCTTTTATAAAAGTTTTCTGTAATGAGTCTTCCCACAATAAATCTCATGCGCACAAATCCCTGTCTCTACAGGGCCCAAAACAAATGCATGGGACAATGGAACAGAAACAAAGATGAAGAAACTCCAGGCACATTAAGGCATCTGATCTTTGACAAAGGGGCCAAAAACATACGCTGGAAGAAAGATAAATTACAGACATTCAAATGATTAAACCTAGAAGCATATCTATTGCCATGCACCAAAATAAAATCAAAATGGATCAAAGACACAGATTTTAAAACAAAAATAATCTGCTGGAAGGTAAAATAAGAAAAACTCTTGAAGACATAGGCACAGAAAAAGACTTCCTAAACAAAACTCCAGTTGCACAAGAAATAGTATCAAATATAAACACATTGGGATTATATCAAATTTAAAAGGCTCTGCACATGCCAGACAAGGTGGCACATGCCTGTGATTCCAGCACTTGGTAGGCTGAGGCAGAATTGCTGCAAGTTTGAGGCTAGCCTGGGTTGCACAGTGAGTTTGAGGACAGCATGAACTACAGAGCGAGACTCTGTCTATAGATAGATAGATAGATGGATAAATAGATGGATGGATAGATAGACAGACAGCTCTATGTAACAAAAGAAACAACTGACAAGTTTTTAAAAAACATACAGAATGGGGAAATATTTTGACAACTACTCCTCTGACAGAAGTCCAATATTGAGAATTTACAAAGAGCTCAAAAAAAATCAGATTCCCCAAAATACAATAATCAAAATTGGGCAACAGAAATGAATAAACGCTTCACAGAAGAAGAAATACAAACAGTGAATAAATATGTGAAAAAATGCTCAACATCTTTGGCTATCAGAGAAATCAAAATTAAAACAACAATGAGACTCTATCTTACTGCAGAAAGAAGAGCAATTATCAAAAAAGCAAATAATGACAAACGTTGGCAAGGCCATGGGGAAGTCACTCTTCTGTATTGCTGGTGGGAATGTAAACTAGTACAACTACTATGGAGTTGGTATGGAGATTCCTGAAAATCTAAAAGTAGAAATCCCATTTGACTCAGCTATTGTCCTTCTTGGTATCTGCTCAAAAGAGTTAAAGACAGAATACCACAGTGACGTATGCATACCCGGGTTTACAGAAGAACAATTTATAATAGCTAAGGCTTGGACGCTGCCTATATATCCATCAACAAAGGAATAGATGAAGTAAATGTGGTATTTATATGTAATGGAGTACTACTATGCCATAAAGAACAAAATTGAGTCATTTGTAGGAAAATAGATGCACCTTAAGACAATACTGTTAAGTGAAATTAATCGGTCATACA